TGACCAAAACAATGGAAGAATAACACCTCATGAGTCTGGAGCTCAGTTAGCTCTTGGGATGCTTGGCCCATTTGAGTTTGATAATGGATTGCCTGTCTCCATGGATATTAGCGGAGATGTTATCTGAGGAGGAAGAAGAGGAAGAGGGCCAGCATATGTCCAGGTTAAGTGTAATTTTGGAGAGTTTGACAACAATGCAGCCATGTGAGTTCTGTGCCCGGCTAGGGCAGAATTAGGAAAGCAGCCAGCACTTGTTCTTATGGTCCCATGCTTGGAAGCAGTTCTTGAATTGGGTCTGGAAGGCCAGCTTCTGTTGAAGGCTGTGAGTCTTCACCTCAGTGATGCCTGGGCACCAGAGTTGGAGATCATCATGAGAGAAGGCTGGGAAATAGTTAGGGTTTGTTTAGAATAAGTACCAGAAAGGGAAGGGAAAGAGCTGCTGGTCTGCTAGGCAGATAGTGGTGCCTTGAATGTGAGGGCTCCTTTTCTTGCTATACCTAGGTAAGGACCGGTGCTAAGTACTCAGAACAAGGGCTGTGGAGGGGATTGCTTTTAGGTTCTTGGGGTTTGTTTTTCTCATAGTACTTTAGAGTTTCCCACAGATCATGAACCACACACTTAATGTTGCAGTGGGACGAGAACATGGCACTGGAAGAAAAGCAGGGCTCTGTGAAACAGAGATTTTGATTCACCGAGTAAGGCCCTTGATGCTACATTCAAACAGGGTTACCTGAGAGAAAGGGCGATACTTCGAGATTAAGTCTTAAAACCAAGGTGTCAGTGCATGAAGTGGACATGTAGACCTTTTCTGACGTCAGCCTCCAGCTGGGCTCCCTGGCCAGGTTGGTAAGGCTGGGTTAAAGGACAGCATGGGGCCCTGGCCAGTTGTGAAGCTCCTGATGATGACGAGTATGTTTGCTCCTGCAGACTCAGATGGACAAGGGCCTCAGGTTTGCCAGTTCTAGACTAGGGCAAGCCATCTGTTCTCTTTAGTCTCAGCTGCCTTGTCCATTTCCAAATGTCTAAGTGGGATGATGTACTCATACAGCAAGGTCAAGGAAGGGAGTTCCCCATGCTCTTCAGACCCTCCATTCATTGCTCCGATTTCGTTCATTTCATTGCCTATCTCCCTTCTTTTTGGAAAAGCTTTCTTTTTTGGTATATTACTATAATTGTGAAATTTCATGCTTCCGGGTTGATCTGCTTCCTAAGTTTCTACATTGGGGAGAACAGCTAATCTTATTAACTGGCAGGGAGAAGTCTCAAGGTCCATTCAGGGGCCTTGTAATTTCCTACCGGTTACCTCCAAATCTGAAGCTTTTTCTACCTAGATCTTGGGGGGTGATTAAGGAATGTTTCCTGTAGTCACCTCTGTAACATGGCTTGCTTAGCTGCATGTCTTAGCGGTTGCCTAATAGGTACTATTCTGGATCTAACTTTCTTAGGCAGAAAAGAATGCAGCTTGGTATTTTTGTTCTGAGGGGAAATTCCATCTCTCCCTGGAATTCTCTATGTGGAATGTTTTCCTGTGGATTGCCTCTATAGCTATAAGAACATGTATGTGGGGTAGGGGTGGGGATGATGCTTGTTCAGGTGGGATGGAGCCACTCTGGAGAAGTAGAAGTGTCTGTGAGCTCATTCAGATAGATGCTCCCACCGTGCTTCATTCCGTACACATCATGATCAGCTCTCGGGAATCCTAGCAAGATCCAGAAGCTGGATGCCATTTGCTTTCCTTTACAGATGAGCAACATAGGCACAGAGAGCCTCAGAGCTTCAAAGCTGAGTGGAAAAGATGGACTGTAGAGTTAGCCAATCAGATTTTGGTCTTGAAGTCTTGAACACCTTTGACCAAGGAATACTAGCAAGGTACAAGGCTGTTCTCAGCCTACCATCCTTTTGATTTCATTCCTGGGCTCCTGCTTCACGCTGTATTTACTTGGGTCCTGCAATCTATTGCAGAGAAAGAAACGGATGTCATGCTACCTTTAAAAGGAGCCTGAGTCAGCAAGCCGTGCCTGTGGATTTCCACATCTTACTGACACCTTTGCAGGTAGTGGTGGGATCAATAAAGGAAGAATATGAAACCTACCCTTGAATCCAGGTGGCCTCTGTGAGGATGGACAAACTGACCTTCACCTTGAGGAGGCTGGGGACTTCAAGGGCAGGAAGCCAGCTAGTCTTCCAGGAAAGAATTGCCCATCTAGCTCCCAGTCTTCTGGCGATCCATCAATAATCACATTAGGACATTGCATGAATCTTAGGCCTTTCTACCTTTGTGGGCCCTTCCATTAAAAACAACAACAAAAAAGGCATTGTTAAACTATAACATCTGGTTTCGTAAATGCAAACCTATCATTATTATATGTTTAAGACTTTTTGACTTAAAAAGCTAAATTTGTTCTCACCTTAATATGAACAAAAACATTTCCCTGTGTCTAAATGACAAGTTGGCCCTGGCTGTAGACTCCAGGCCTGAGAACGTATCATCGGAGAGTTCCCATCTCTTTGCAGATAGGTCTCTAGAGTTGGCAGAGGGTGTTCTGGGCATTCAATGTTGAGCTGAACTTGGGGACCCATCCATGGGATTCTTCTATTGGCTCCTGTCTGTGGTTCAAGTTCCCAGGAGGGTTTGAGAAGGTCTGCAAGCTGAGTGCTCTGGAAGGCCTGGGAAGAGCCTGTGCTCTGTCCGGTGGAGCTGTGGACCTGTGTGGCTGTGGGTAGAAGCGGGGTGAAGAGGAGTTAGCTATTGCAGGAACACTAGATGTATCCTGTATGGAGCTGAGTCATTTCTGCGGTGGGCTGGGAAGCTCCTGGCCCCTGGGATAAGGGCCAGTGCGGTGCCATGAGGTTGTCCACTCAGCATTTGAGGTCTCAATGTCTGTTTCCTAAGGTTTGGCTCATTTCAGAATGCCCTAAGCTTTTCTTCAGGTCTTCTGCCCTCTACCTCTGTATCCATCTAAGAATGCAAGGGTTGTGTTTATGTTTAAGGTGGTTCCCAGCTGCAGGACCCAGTCCAGAGGTTAACTCTACAGGGACCTGATAGGACAGAGGAAATCTGTGCAGCAAAAAGGATGACTCAGTTTCCATGCTCTATGGAACCATGCAGGCAGCTGAATAGGGGAATTTGACCTGTGTCTGGGGTTGGGGTGCTGCTGGGTTTCCCCAGTTCCCACCTCCCAGAGCAGAGAATGGAGAGCAGGACGTATGAGGAGTCTGGGGCCTGGTTCCTGGGTCTGACTGAACCCAGGTTGGCCAGGACTCCTCTGCAGGCTTGATGGAATCATGAAACTTTCAGCTTTCCCCGTGGCTGATGCTGGGGCTGCTGGAATGAGCCATGGGGTGTTAGCCTTTCTAGAAAGAATGATTTTTTTTTTTTTTTTAAGGTTTCGGGCATTTTGTATAAATGGCTCAACGTTAACAACTTCAGGCAGATCTTTGCCTTTAGCATGGAATACTTGACCATTTCCCTTTTGTGAAACCTCCAAGGTCATCCTCCTCTTCACTACAGTTCTAACTATGGGGCACACACAGTTGTCCAGAGGCTGCTGGTGGAGGTGGAATCATTTGCCATGTCTGATATCCCCCAGCGATAGCAGGTACAGCTGTTAACATTGCTACACAGTGCTGTACCTGGCATGGAAGAGCGGAGTCCTCCCTTAACTGAACACGGTCTAGTTCCTGAAGTCTCAGACAGGGCAGTACACCTTACCTTTTATAGTTTACTGTTGGCTCCTTCCATTTTTCAGTCCTGGCGGGGGGGGGGACTATTGGTACCCTCTTTCCTGTATGAATTCTGAAGGGTTTACTGAGGGCTGTGTGTCTTGCATCAATGTTTCTATAGTATTATTTTGAGAGTTATCCCGTTTTGGGGTAGGGACTGTGAAGTTTTGTTGAAAAACATCCCCTATGCATTCACCTAGAATCTTTCTTTCTCAAAATAGGGTTTCCCTTTGTAGCTTTGGCTGTCCTGGAGCTCACTGTAGACCAGGCTGGCCGTGAACATACAGAGATCTGTCTGTCTCTGCCTCCCGAGTGCTGGGATCAAAGGCGTGCTCCACCACTGTCCTGCTTCTCCTAGATTTTTATTAGGACATACAGGCTTGTGGACAGTGTGGTCGGGGGCTGGGCTGATGGTCCCAGGCATCTTGTGGTAGTAGTTTTTAAAACCTCAGCTAGTCTGCCATGATCAGACTACAAATGAAGGAGAGCTTAAACTTGGGGTTAGTTAGAGATAAGTCTGGTACTTTCTGCTGGACTCAGGGATGACCTCCTTCCACTCCTTGTTGAAGGCCTTGTGCCTGTCTTCATCCTTCTGTGCTCCTACGTCCCAGCTTTGGAGGGTGAGGACAGAACTGAGAATGGATTTCGCATTTCTCTGCAGTCACTCAGCGCTTGAGTTCAGCTCCTGATCCATCACTGAGCAGGCATGTGTTCTGGCTCAAGAGGCAGGCCTCTGTGAGCTTCAGCTTCTCTGTGTGTGAAAGAGAAGGGGGTGCCAGCGGGACCCCCACCTATTTATCACTGCTCCGGCGCCTCACAGAAGCAGCTTCAGGGGAGGAAGGCATTATCTTGGGAGATGGTTTCAGAGGGCTTCATCGAGGGGGAGGCAGTGGGAGAGGCTTGTCCCACCACCCTCAGCAGAAAACAGGGTGGAAGTGGGGTGGGTTGTAACCCTCAGAGCTCCACCCGCAGCATCTCCCGTCTACCAGCCAGGCAACATGGCTACCCTAGACAGCGCCGCCACCTGGGGAGCAAGAGTTCTAATGCACGAGTCAGTGGGGAAACATTTTGTGTCCAACCCATGATACCTCCTAAAGAGTTACTTTGAGACTGAAATGGAAATCCGTCTAAGTTGTAGAGCACGGTCCTTGGCACATGATTGTTACTCTGTTAGTCTTCTCCTTTATCATTAACAGCCACCCTCCTCGAGGCTAGGATTCAGGAGGCCCCATCTCTCTGGGGAGCTGAGTCCGGAGTGTCTCCTCTTCTCCCTGCAGACAATGGTGACGACCACTCTGAGGGAAGCCTGGTGGAGAACCATGTGGACGGGACCATGAACATGTTGGGAGGAGGAAGCAGCGCTGGCCGGAAGCCTCTCAAGTCAGGCATGAAGGAGCTGGCCATGTTCCGGGAGAAGGTCAACGAACAGCACCGGCAGATGGGCAAAGGTGGCAAACACCTCAACCTGGAGGAGCCCAAGAAGCTGCGGCCACCTCCCGCCAGGGTCAGTGGAGGGGTGGGGGGTGATGGAGGAAGGAAGGTGTGGAAAGGGAGCCTCATAGTTGGGCAGGCCGTCACAGCATGTCCCACATGCTACCAGTGAACGAACAAACAAAAATGAACGATATCATTGATATAGTTGATGACTTTTGAGCCACAGGGCACTCAGCCTATCTGGGCAGTTGACCCTGGTTGGGTTCTGTTAGGGAGAGGAGTTTGGGCCATTGCCTTAGGGTAACTTCAGAGATAGCATTTGAATTGGCTTGGGATAAAGACTCCAGGGACAGCGTCTCCAGTTGGATTGGGCCCATGGCTTGAGCTATAAGTTCTAGCCTTTCAAGTGGAGCCGGATTTGACTCATGATGGCTGTTGTCAAGAGTTGTAAGAGAGCAGTGAAAAGTCACAGCCTTGTGGCTTTCTAGACAGGGTGGGCCAGGCACAGTAGGGTTGCTTGTCATTGATGCTGCTGTACTAGCCGTTTGGTGTCGAGGGAGTCCTTTCTCCACAGATACGGCAGTTTATGAGGCCTTGCCTAGTACCAGTGTTTTGTGGGCCCATTTTTCTAACCCTATGTGTTCTTTTTGCCTCCAGACTCCTTGCCAGCAGGAATTGGACCAGGTCCTGGAGCGTATCTCCACCATGCGCCTTCCGGATGATCGGGGTCCTCTGGAGCACCTCTACTCCTTGCATATCCCGAACTGTGACAAGCATGGCCTATATAACCTTAAACAGGTGAGTGTGAGTATGAGTGCTAGCCTATTTTCTCAGCCCCGACCCCTGGTGTGTTTAGTCTGTGCTACACCAGCCTGAAATCCTTGGAAGCTAAGGGCTGAACCTTGATACATGCAGGCTTCTGTCACCAGAAGGATGGAGGCACATCAGCTCCAGGAGGCTTTCCTCCTTGGCCTCAGGCAGGTCGGGGCTGACTCTACTCCCTGAGCTGGCTTCTCTCTTGGGGTCTGTCAGGAGGGAGTGCCCTGGACAAGTGAGAGAAGAAGGGATTAAGGCCTTGAACTTCAGCTTTTTCAGAGGTTTGGATGTAGCTACTGTAGAAGAGGGTTTAAACCTAAACCAGTACCTTGTTTTACCTGAGAGGACCCCTGGGCCCTCCTCCAGAGGTCACTTAATAGGTTGGGTAGGAATCTACAGTGTATTTTCCTTCCTTCCTTCCTTCCTTCCTTCCTTCCTTCCTTCCTTCCTTC